CTTACTCTGTTCAGCGCTGAACTGACGAGCAATTCCAGCTGCAGTGCTGAACCGATTCCCCATTGAGAGCCATGTTATCCTATCATCTGCATTCTGTCTTCTCGTGCATTTGTCTTGCATGGATGACCAGCCTTTTTGGAGGACTAGAATAAATTAGTGTCATTGTAAGGCCCAATCCCAATTCTATTTTATACCCCTTCCCCTACCCCTCCGCCTCCCCCTCGTCTCTTGAAACAGAGTGTCAAGGGGTAGGGGTGAAAATAATCACCTAAGAATTGGGACACCACTACTATACCATCACACGTCATCATACGTCGAGCAACTGTAACAATGAGGGAAGTGGAGGCAAGGTCGGATCCAATTGCAGCCTTTTATTCAAACAAAGAGCGTAGTCAGACAGGTAAAGGTCATACACCAGCAAACAGTGTCCAGAGAGCAAGGCAAGAGAATAATCCAACACAAGCAATAGATCAAGGCAAGCAGCAAATGATCAGAGGCAAGATAAACAGGCTAGGGTCAGAACAACAAGGCAAGGAACAAGACTAGGAAACAGGATACTAGGAAGCGCTTGGTATGGCAGCTAGGCTAATCAATACTGAGCACCTGGATGTGAGTGAGTGCAACCTTTATAGTGTCCGGGTTATTGGAAACAGGTGAGGGTGTAATCATAAGGGATCTTGGGAAATGGAGTCCAGGGTGAAATTCTGAGTGGCGTGTGTGGCAACCTCTGGTGGTGAGCAGGGAACGGATCGTGACAATTAATTTTCGTTAAAATATTTATTAATGCCAATAATGCTTACATTTATGTGTCTTTTTGTTCGGTCGGGCAGCCATGTTGCCGCTGTTGCCGGTTTACGCTGAGATAATTCATACCCCTTCATTTGTGAAGTCCTGTGTGGTCCTGAAAAATCTTCATTTGAAGGGCTATCTGGCCCTTCCCCTTCCCCCTCCAACCAAAAGAGAACCGAGACACCCCTACCCCTTCACGTGAACAGAAAGGGGAAGGGCTAAGGGGTAGAATTGGGATTGGGCCTAAAGCTGCAATACTCTAGAAATCACAGATTTGGAACAACCAGCTTCTCGTGCAGTGGCTGAAAGGGTCGTCCCTTGGTCTTCATCTGGACCATCTCCTGTCACAGGGTTTCAGTCACCTTAGAGCGGCCCGCCATCTAGCAATCTCAGTGAAAATTAGAGGAATGCTGCTAGTTAAATAGTGTTTGTCATATAATTAAGGAAATTATCACCAGGTGCCAGATCAACACCAATTACTTGGAGATATCTGAAAGTGTTCTCTAATTTTGATCAGAGTTCTTTTTCAAATATCTCATTTAAGTGTTTTATACTGTGGTTCAGAATACAATTAATTTATGAAACATGCTTAAAAAACTGCCATTCTTCTCCTGTTAGGATAACTTTAAACAGGACTAAGCAGTGAAGGCCAAAACAATAGTTTAACCAACTTTACATTTATAAACACAACTCAAGCTGAAGCAAGTGATGTAACAGAACTCTAACACACTGAGAAACACACTCTCAATCAGCACGGAAAACAGAAAAAGAGGATCAGATTAATTTGATATTGAGGGCCGTTCACACTAGTAGAGACACATTTATTTGTACAGTGCTTTTGACAATACATATCATTTCAAAGCAGCTTTACAGAAAATCAAGATTGTTACTATTTATAATATTTTAATATCTTAATGCCTTATAGTCACACTCAGCAGATTAGAACTGGATGCTAATAGATAGATTTTGCAATGATATAAACAATAAAACTGTTGAGATTTGCTATATAGTATGTATCGCTTTATGTGAGTGTACTGTACAGTATGTATGCGAATAAAGCTTATATATACATACTGTATATATCCAACTTTATATAAATATGTAGCCAATAATATACATTAATTTTAATTACAGTATACTGTATCTATGCAGATACAATTAGACATAATTGTATAATCAACCAAATTGGTGTAGAAAATGTTTTACTGAAAAAATTGCTAGTAAACTTCACAATTATTACAAAGAATCGACCAGTAACAATGAACTAAATAAGTTTTGAAGTAGAAAGACTGAAATGGTATTTTCTTTTAAAACATACTCCAATAATCCTTGTATTTACAATTTTCAAAAATACTTTTTTTACAGTGTACATTCAACATTATATAAAGAGCTCGGTTATAATATAAATTAATTATTTTTAAATGAAAAAAATAGATTTTTTGTTTCACTGGAAGCAACAAAGATTCATTTTAGTTGAGTGCATCTCTATTTCTGCTTTTAGCAGATGCTTTTTTGATACTTTTTACTGTGAATTCAAGCAATAAAGATTTCATCTGGGAATTGAACACTGTTTAGCTGGTAGAAATACAGTTTATTATTAATTTACACTACAGGACTTTAAGCAGTTTTAGAGATTATTAGGTCTTTTTCAGGTCGATCACTGAACTGCAGATGTTTAAACCATTTTAGCCCCTAAAACTCTCTCATATCACTGTTAAACTCTCGTCACTAACTAGTATATATTCTAGAACTCAATCTAGCAAAGCTCAGATTTTCAGTGACTTCCGAATTTTAATTGCTTTGAAATGTTTTAATTCAAAATCACCAATTGCTGTGTTTTCATGACTTTTGAGCACTTGTGCACATCGATCACCTCCTCGAGATTCATGATTAAAAGCTGTCTTTCATTTAAGCTTTTTCTTGCCATCATGCAGTCGCAGCCGCAAATCAAGAATTGCTAAAAACAGAAGCACAAAATAACATGTGATTGGTTTCCTCTTTCATAGTCTTGCTTACTCTACATCTCATGGTTCAGCCCAAACACGTATGTTAAAGCTCATGCTATACAATCCATATCAACATACAGTACATGTCAGACAAAATATTTACAAATGCAACGAGATGTGTGCTTTATATAAACCATAAAACTCCCAAAGTCAAACATAAGTGAAAATAAGTGCTTGACTTCCCAGGGAAGGTGCACGCACAATACTTCTCACTGCATGCGTGAGTTCTCATTCGCGTCTTCTGGCTCTTTAATGTTTAAAGGCTTAAATGAGTTTAGTTTAAACACAGATAGTAATGTGTGCTGTTCAGGTCTCACATGCGCATGTGCGCTATCAACACCCGGGTGATGACGGCATCAATGACTGCTCTTATTCCAGCATACGGCACTCGCATTTAACAAGGAGTGACAGGTTTGTCCACGTTTCTTTTTTCTTTTTTTGTTAATCGCTGATGTTGTAATGTATTGGGAAGCCAGAATGCGTATCCACTGACAGAAACATTAGCCAAACTTTAAAATTTTTACCAAACCATTATTACAGATGCCTTGTCAGATTTAAGAACTGTTTTTTTTACCTGTTACACCCCTAGAAAACACACTCCTCCTGAAGCTGCTGTGGATCGTTTGAGTGGTTCGGAGTGAACGTCACGTCGCCGTACTAAACCTCCTCCTCTTCCTCTTCTTCCTCTTCCTCCTCCTCCTCTTTCTCCTCCTCCTCTTCCTCCTCTTCCCTTCTCTTTGCCTGCAGTTGGACCGCGGCGTATTCCACATCAGCATCAGGGAGCGATTCTGCGGAGAAACAATGACAAGACGAAACATTACTTGACGTCTATACTCATTCTGGATAGCTGTTAGTCACTGCTAGTTTACTACAAAAATAGCAGCTTTAACACAACTGCTAACTGACAAATGAAGCTTTTCAGGAGTGACACTATTTCACTGAGAAAGTAGCAAACAATAATGATGAAAAAAGATCAAATCCAGTGCAAGTTAAACTAGCGATGGGAAGATCGGATCATTTTAACAACTCTCTTGCTCATTTTTATTCAATAAAATGAACGAATCTCTGAGTCATTTCGTTCATTTTAACAATTAAAAGGTTATACATTTACACAATCTTTGATCATATTCTAAATAAGAAAATCATTATATTGCAGCAAAAGATATGTGAACAAGTTCACTTCCCCGTTAGCACACATACGTCTGCAAGATGTCTGTTAAAGATCACTTCATCATGTCTAGATAAACTTTGAGTAAAGCAAAAGAGAGGTTTGGAGCCAGATTTTTGGAGCCTATATTCTTTTTCAAGTAGTCAAACAATCCAAAGAAAATGTCTTTAAAACAGAAAGAAAAATCGCGTACAAAATGAGATCAGATGAACGTGAACATTCATTGATAAACAAGTGAATGAATCTTCCTCAGAAGAGACAAAAACAGCAACTCACCTCAGTGTCTGACTTATATTATAATTACGGCCATAAGCTTTTTGTGAAATCTGGAGTAACTCAATCTGTTGCTTGACCTCTTCATATTTAAGGAGAGAACTATAGTTTCCAAAGTCAGACATAACTTGTTATGATTTTCAAGGGGGTAGAGTTTAGTAAGGACGCTATGATATGATCCTACCAATATCAGAGACCATTAAATTATCCCTAGCAATAATTCTGAGCAAACAATTAAATGTATGTTGTCTGCTGTTATTCTCCACCAATGCCAAAATCAAACCTCCACCCTTGGCCGAAAGTCAGAGCCAATCTGCAGATTTGAGTTGACAGATTTCACAGAAAATCCTGTAGCGTATGATGGTCACAGACTCTGATTTTTTTGTAGTTTTTTCTCCAGTCAGAGGAGATCAAACATGTTTGATATTTTCAGCCGATTTTAGAACACATTTTGTTTTCATCTATCACGCGTCTCCTTGCAACATGGTGCACATTATTGCATGTGTCTGTTGTGATCAGAAAAACTTTAAAGTCTGGTAGTGTATCATCGTCAGTCATTTAATGTATGATGGCCAGTTTTACCTCTGTGACTGTGTACAAAGTCGATAAATGTATGATGTCTAGTGTTTTAAAATCTGGTCAGATTTTAAAAGTCGTGTAGTGTATTCCAGCCTTAAGTTGAATGAGATTCGTATTCTAAACCACTAAACCTTTGTTTCTAATGCTGTTATTTCCACAGAAGACTTATACATGTCTATGTGAAGTCATAACCCTGTTGAAAAAAACAGCATATGCTGGTTAGGTATGTTTTGAAGCATGCAGCTGGTTTGAGCTGGTCCTTAATTGTAAACTCATAACCAGTTTACAACAGTTCAGGACCAACTATAGCCCAGCTTAAACCAGCTGCCATGCTTCAAAACATTCCTAACCAGCATATATTCAGTCACCGCACCAGCGTGGATATTTACTGTATTTCAGAATTACAGATACTAAGTCTTGGAAGTATGTCCAAAATAAGAAGTTTCACCGGAAAATGTCATCTGAACAAGTAACATGTCTGTCACTTTTACAATAAATTGCACTACCAATGATGATTAAATCTAATGATAGCAAAATTAGATCAGACGACGTCAAACCATGCAAATTATTGTTATACTTTGTTCTAAAATTGTTAATGTTAACAACATCTACATTGCTTAACTAAACTTCTTTGAGTTTCTTACCTGTATTCTCCTTTTCACCCTTTTTCTCATGAGAGATATCAGCGTATATGAGCTCTGTATCTCCAGCTGACGGGAAAACACTGACATTAGCAACAGATCAACTACAATCTCATATTTCAGTCATTAAAGTATTGCCTTCAGAACTATCCTCATAACAGATCATGCTGGATAAACGTTTTTCACATATAAGACTGTTTGCATGTAACGCACTGAGAAAAAGGCAAGGAAAGAATACAGTAAGTGAGGTCATATATTCACCAATCTTTGATTTATTGTATCTCATTCATGAAACGTTTGTAAATATATGAGTAAATTCTGAGTGATTTGCACATAGAAAGCACCTTCCCAAAAAATTCACAAACACTTCATTAAACCTCAGACTTCATAGTTAAACATGTATGTTAATGAATTCCAGTCAATTGTAAACAAGGCGTGCATGTCTGCACATTTATAATTGGCAATTTATTTTCACAATTAACTAACTGGTTAACTAATTAATTTTGTAATTATACTGTATATTATTATGGTAAATAGTGTTATTTTAAATTATATAAAAAATTATAAATAAATGCTCAAAACAAATTCCTTGTATGTCTAAACATACCTGGTAATAAAGCTCTTTCTGATTCTGATTAAAATGTAGTGTCAACAGAATACTAAACATTTAAATGTTTTATGCACGCTTCGCCCAAAGCAATCAGAGAGAATTTTAAAACTATGGAAGAAAAAACACAAGGCCACTTAAAACAACCTCCAAAACTGCTTTGAAAAGTTCATTCATAACAACTGCAACAGCAACAAGAACAGAAAAACTTCATGCAATTAACAGCACAGTAAATTAGTTCAAAAATCATTTTAGCTACAGAAGAGCCTGTGAATCCCTCACTGCCATCATTATTATTGAAAACATGAAAGAACCCCCCCCCCATGAAAACACAAAGAACCAAAAGCAGATCTAATTAAATCTATGTTGTCTTTAATTGAAAAATATGCCTTTTCATATATACTATATACTGTATATACGTACGCACCCATGCACACACACACACATACTTGTTTTCTATGAAAAACAACGATTGTCACTTATTTTCCTTTTCTGAAATTGGCAACCCTAGCAGAGGTCAAACTAGAGGTCACAGCTGCAGTAGTTGGTCCTGTAATAAAACATCAGCATAGAATCACCTGCTTTCTCTCTTAATATTAATTACTGCAGAGATAATAAATCATTTTGAAGAATTAAGTGGCCAGTTGAGAGAATCGATTCGTCTGAATCTCATGAAACCTGTCAAGGACACGTCCAGGTCACATTTCAGTTCAAAACTGTAATTAGTAAGTAATATTTAGCATGTTTCATTGAATGTTTTTAGGGGCATTAAACCCTTTTGCAATGTGACATTTACCCCTCAAATCTAATTTCTGACATATGAGGAAAATGCAAAAACATGAAAATAAATAAAATAAAATGATAAATTCTCAACACATGAATGCAAAAATCTATGTTAATCATAATATGTATAAAATAACTAAAATCATCATATCATCATAAAATGTACCTGAGAGAAATGTATCATATTGCATCAAATAAAAATGTATTGTAGGCAATTGCAGTAATAAGAATCAAGTAACAAAATATCACTGTAAATAATTGCAATTACAAAAAGAAAAAAAAAAAAAATTCTAAAACATTACAGTAAAGCAAGTTTAGGGAGTAGGAGTGTATTTAATTGTCATGAAAATAGCAATGCAAATAAAATGAATAGCTGTAAAATAGTCCTTATTTCCTTTATGCAAAATATGATTTCTTTTGATTTTGAGGTGAAATGTTTGTTTGTTGTTTATAATTTAGTGCCATGCCAGCGACTGAGACAGTGAGAAACAAGTGAAAAAGAGTAAATAAGAAAATAAATAAAGTATATATAAACAACAAATAAAAACTAAAAGGTTTTAAAGTGAATTGTCCATAAAAAAAAAAGTTAGACCATGAACCTAGCCTCACTTTATTAATAATCTTTCCTTAAGAATAAACCAAAAAGGAGAGTCCTAGAGGAGTTAAACTCATCACAATCCACCAAAATACACTTCAGAGATACTGCATTCTGTCATAAGGGGATTCAGTGGAGAAATGTGACTTTGACATGTTCTTGACAGGTTTTGTGAGATTCTGCATCACTCTTGTTGCTGTTGCTGTAGTCTAGTAAATACTTCATTCATGTATTAGAAGCTCACCAGTAGGACACACTAGTCTAATGGTCTTCTGTGTGTGACTGACGTGGTTCTTCACGCTGCAGCTGATGTCTCCATCAGTTCCCTCATCCAGATCAATGCTGCTGTTTCCATCCATCAGTGGATCTCCATTCAGAGTCCAGCTGTAGAGGAGCGGATCCCCCTCAGAGGAGCAGGACACCCTCATCACCCCACTGGAGGAGCAGATGATTGACACTTCCACTGAGCCAATAGGAGCTGGAGGGAGGGACACATCACAGTCACATGACAAACACAGGAGAATCTTGTTCTTCCACACGACTCATACTATTACTGGAGTCTGTAGTGTGTTTACTGTGTGCTACAGGAATAAAAACCTTCCCAGAGATTCAACTGATTCATCTGCATGAGAGTGAGATCTTTGGAGAACATGAGACTGGAATGAGTCTGATGAGAGAGTTTCTGTACCTTCAACAATCACTTGAAGATCTCTAGATGTTTCTGTGCCGTCTGAGCGTTCGAGTGTTAATCTGTAATTCCCTGAATCTGTTTTGATCACACGGTTTATTATCACAGTCCCATTAATGACTGTCACTTCAGGTCTGTTATTATAAAGATCACATTCCTTTATCCTGCCATATTTTACTCTACAAACTCGATCATCTTGTGTGTTGTTGTTTATTCTCTTTATTATTTTCAGCTCATATTCTCTAGCGTCCAGCACCGTCAGCAGATTGAGTTTGTGTCCCAGAGCTGCGTAACAGGGATCAGATTGATCAAACCTGCATTTTACTTCCAGACCTGAAGAACAAAACACACACACAATGAAATGAACCAAAATCTACAGACATCATGAACTAAAATCAGGAACAAATAGCATGACCACCTGGTAATTGCTCCATTGCAGGATGTAGATATGATTTTGCGGGACACGTGTGTGAGAGAGAAATGTATTACTATTATACTATATAAATACTGATTTGCATTAGTGGGAATGCGGAGGGAGAACAAACTGCAGGGCAAAACTAAAATAAGCCTAATGTTAGTGTAATCTATCAGCACATTTATTCACGTAGCCTACCAGACATGAGTGGCATGTCATAAAATATTTTAATATGACTGAATTTGTGTTTAACATGATCACAATTTGACACAAACATTGTAAGTTACCAATTTACTAATGTTTACTAAAGTTTTACTAAAGTTACTAAATACACAGTTATTCAAACAGCGAATAATACAGAAAGCAAGCATAGAACACTATCATATCTAATATTATCACTGATTATAGTCTAATGCGAGTTTACGCATTTACAAAATAACTCCCGCTATAATTAATGAAGCTGCCTACACTGTGAAATTAATCTCTTATATCATTTATTTGTGTTTGTAGGAGCAAAGAAAGCAACATTTCCTTACTTTGGCAAAGGAAAACAGTCTCCTCTTGGCTTATATCAAAATCCTCTGACATTTTTCTTTACTAATCCTCGTTTTGTACTTCTAATTCATGACCGGTGTTTTGTTTTGCTCTCTCCTCTGCGCTTCTGCATTCCTACGTCATCCACTGGAACGCCACTCTCTCGTGAACACAAGTATGACAGTTAGTGGAAGCTATAGATTATGGTTTATAAAGTTTTAAATATGGATATTATTCTAACACAAACGCATCGATTCGCTTCAGAAGGCCTTTATTAACCCACAGGAGCCGTGTGGAGCACTTTTATGATGGATGGATGCACTTTATTGGACTTCTTTTGGACTATTGTAAAAAAACACCCATTCACTGCCATTAATATAACTCTGATTGTATTCGTCTGAAAGAAGAAAGTCATAGACAGCTACGATGGCTTGAGGGTGAGTAAATCATGGGGTCATTTTCATTTTTGGGTGAACTATCCCTGTAAATGCGTTTTACCGGATTCAGTGCATCTTGAACTTGTAAGATCTGGCAGGTTTGATCAGAATGCTCTTATCCAGGATGTGTCTAGAAGTAGTTCTGGTTGGAGTAGCTGTATTTAATGACTTTGATGAGTTCCACACTGATTCATTTGCTCCGCTCACGCAGTCGTCATCAGCAGAAAAATCTCTCTCTATTAATGCATTGGCTGGTTATTTCCCTGCTCTATAGAAGATGACAACTGCGCAAATGGATTTTTAAAAGCCAATCGCATCTTTTTTTATTGTGGTATTTTAATTTCAGGAAAGAAAAAAAATAACAGAGCCTATAGATCCCTTGCTGCCATCATTATTATTAGGTTTCATTGTAATTTACATTATTTGTTGTAGCTCAGCACTCACACATCCTGGAAGAAAATGCTGTAGTGTAGGTGACATTCATACTTGAGAAACTCGTACCATATTCTGATGTCTGTGTCGACGTAGAGGTCAAACTAGAGGTCACAGCTGCATTAATATTAATTACTGCAGAGATAATCAATCATTTTGAAGAATTAAGTGGCCAATTGAGAGAACTGATTCATCTGAATCTCATGAAACCTGTCAAGGACCCGTCCAGGTCACATTTCAGTTCAAAAGTAATTTTCAGTAATATAATATAAAATAGTAAGTTTCAGTAATATTTAGCATGTTTCATTGAATGTTTTTAGGGGCATTAAACCCTTTTGCAATGTGACATTTACCCCTCAAGTCTAATTTCTGACATATGAGGAAAAGGCAAAAACATGAAAATAAATAAAATAAAATGCATTAATGCAAAAAAACAATATGAACTATAATGTGTATAAAATAACTAAAATCATCATATAATCATCATAAAATGTACCTGAGAGAAATGTATCATATTGCATCAAATAAAAATGTATTGTATGCAATTGCAGTAATAAGAATCAAGTAATAAAATATGACTGTAAATAATTGCAATTACAAACAAAAAATAATAATAATTCTAAAACATTACAGTAAAGAAAATTTCTTCGGGAGTATGAATGTTTTTAATTGTCATGAAAATAACAATGCAAATAAAATGAATGGTTGTAAAATAGTCCTTATTTTCTTTGTGCAAAATATAATTTCTTTTGATTTTGGGGTGAAATGTTTGTTTGTTGTTTATAATTCAGTGCCATGCCAGCGACTGCCAAGAAACAAGTGAAAAATAGTACAATTAAATAAATAAACAATAAATAAAAACAAAAAGGTTATAAAGTTTATTTTATATGAAAGAAAAGTTAGACCATGAACCTAGCCTAACTTGATTAATAATCTTTCCTTAAGAATCAACCAAAAAGGAGAGTCCTAGAGGAGTTAAACTCATCACAATCCACCAAAATACACTTCAGAGATACTGCATTCTGTCATAAGGGGATTCAGTGGAGAAATGTGACTTTGACATGTTCTTGACAGGTTTTGTGAGATTCTGCATCACTCTTGTTGCTGTTGCTGTAGTCTAGTAAATACTTCATTCATGTATTAGAAGCTCACCAGTAGGACACACTAGTCTAATGGTCTTCTGTGTGTGACTGACGTGGTTCTTCACGCTGCAGCTGATGTCTCCATCAGTTCCCTCATCCAGATCAATGCTGCTGTTTCCATCCATCAGTGGATCTCCATTCAGAGTCCAGCTGTAGAGGAGCTCTGTGGTTATATGTGACATTCATGTATTAGAAGCTCACCAGGACAGGGTTGGACTCTAATGGTCTTCTGTGCGTGACTGACGTGGTTCTTCACACTGCAGCTGATGTCTCCATCAGTTCCCTCATCCAGATCAATGCTGCTGTTTCCATCCATCAGTGGATCTCCATTCAGAGTCCAGCTGTAGAGGAGCTGATCCCCCTCAGATGAGCAGAACACTGACCTCTGATTGGAGGAGCAGATGATTGACACTTCCACTGAGCCAATAGGAGCTGGAGGGAGGGACACATGACAGTCACATGACTCTTTCTCGACTAATTCTGTAACCAGAGTCAATGTCAAGACATTTCTAAACAAAATGTACTGCTGAAAGGATAGCTGGATGGAAGTAAAAATGCAGCATACATTAGTCATGTGATAACAATGTAGCAAATGACTGTTTGAAATGCTTTTATGTGTCATTTTTGCAATATACAGTAAGCAGCATGCAGTAAGCAAAATAGACTAAGTACATGAAAGGTGCAGATGAATTAGACTAAATTATTTCCTGACATTCAATAATGAGCTGCAATAAAAACCTTCCTAGAGATTAAACTGATTCATCTGCATGAGAGTGGGTTCTTCACGCTGCAGCTGATGTCTCCATCAGTTCCCTCATCCAGATCAATGCTGCTGTTTCCATCCATCAGTGGATCTCCATTCAGAGTCCAGCTGTAGAGGAGCGGATCCCCCTCAGAGGAGCAGGACACCCTCATCACCCCACTGGAGGAGCAGATGATTGACACTTCCACTGAGCCAATAGGAGCTGGAGGGAGGAACACATGACAGTCACATGACAAACACAGGAGAATCTTGTTCTTTCACACTACTCATACTATTACTGGAGTCTGTAGTGTGTTTACTGTGTGCTACAGGAATAAAAACCTTCCCAGAGATTCAACTGATTCATCTGCATGAGAGTGAGATCTTTGGAGAACATGAGACTGGAATGAGTCTGATGAGAGAGTTTCTGTACCTTCAACAATCACTTGAAGATCTCTAGATGTTTCTGTGCCGTCTGAGCGTTCGAGTGTTAATCTGTAATTCCCTGAATCTGCTCTGATCACACGGTTTATTATCACAGTCCCATTAATGACTGTCACTTCAGGTCTGTTATTATAAAGATCACATTCTTTCTCCTTTATCCTGCCATTCTTTACTCTACAAACTGGATCATCTTGCATGTTATTTATTCTGTGATGTAACTTCAGGTCATATTCTCTAGTGTCCCGCACCATCTGCAGATTGAGTTTGTGTCCCAGAGCTGCGTAACAGGGATCAAACCTGTAGAACCGATCCAGACCTGATCAGATCAAATAAATTAATTAACAAGTGATGAACATTCATGTATTGATCTTTAACCTGAAGTTAGATGTTAGACATATAGAGAGAGAGAGAGACCTGTACAAGAAGAGTACCAGAATGACATGATGCAGTGAAAAAAGGAATAGATCAACCTTTTTAAACATCACGTTAGCTTAGATTTCAAGATCTTTAAAGGGGTCATGACACGAGAAATACTTCAGGTCTGTTATTGTAAAGATCACATTCCCTCTTGCTGCCTTTTCTTACTCTACAAACTGGATCATCTTGTGTGTAGTTTATTCTCTTTATTAACATCAGCTCATATTCTCTAGCGTCCCGCACCATCGGCAGATTGAGTTTGTGTCCCAGAGCTGCATAACAGGGATCAGGTTGATTAAAACTGCAGTTCCACTCCAGACCTGAAGAACAACACACACACACACACACACACACACACACACACACAGGTTTATTTGACTATATTACTGAGCTATTCTCATAGAACTCCATTGTTTTTTTATATGAAGTTAATAATATTTTCTGTCTCCTAACCCAAGCCCTAAATACAACCCTCACAGAAACCGGTGCAAAACACTAGACTTATAGCATAGACATTTCTTCTTAAAAATTTTCTTATTTTTCGTAATTTATAACGAAACATGATTTTACTGATTTATAAGCCTATTTAATTTCAAATGTTAGCTTAGATTTCAAGATCTTTCAAGGGGTCATGACATGAGAAATCAAACTTGCCTTGATCTTTTGGCATATAAGAGGTACCATTAAAACATCCTGCAAGTTTCATAGCTTAAAATATCCTCCTCGTTATAAACAAAGCTTTTATAGAATCAAGCTCAAAAACAGCTCGTTTGGATCTGAGGTGCCATGTGATGTCACAAGGGCACAAACAGCCCCGCCCCCTGGTGATCAGTCGCTTATCGGCTGACACTTGTTTACACTGAATGCGACGCGTCAAAGATCGAATCTTCACTGACAGACAGACAGCAGCTCTACTGATACACCAGGAAATTACACCACTTTAACAAAGAAAGAAGAAAGAGGAAGCTTTTCAGAGAGGGTCAATGTGGGTCAACAGTTCATTCTTAAATACCTAAAAAAAAAAGACAAACTAACAAGATGTAGCATTTCTACATCACATTACTAAAAAGTGTCTGTAATTATTTTTGACACATCTTTGTTTAACACCCAATAAACACAGAAATCAAAAGAGTTTATGAGCTCATCAAAGGCTTTTGACAGATTGATTTCAAACAAGCTTCAGTATTTATTATGAGTATATGCAATATAAATACAATATAAATAGTAGCTGAAATGCATTTGTGATTTGGATCCAAAAAAGCAAAGCAAATAAAATAAGTGAAACCCAGTGAAAAATAAACTTAATATATAAACTTCAGCATAACATAAACTCTTCAGCATAACATAAACTCATAAACATCAAATATAACTCCACATTCAACTCTAATAGGTCTTTCCATTTACATAAGAATGCATAAAATAACCTTTAATTGCATATTTTACTCTCCTGACCTGATTTAGTTAATACAACAGAAATGATTCACGAACTAGGCAAATACAGAAATTTCAGAAGCTGTGAGAAATATTTAGTGTACTCCACTAATATACAGTGTTAAGAAGAACAAATACACTTGTAGATCCCTGCAAACTTCTCTTACTGTAATATTTTAATATTACAACACGTTTTCAGAAGAGACCGGATGACACTCATCAGAGCTCACAGTGTATTTATAAGAACAGTGCGCTGCTTCTGTGAGAGAAAAGGAAGTTTAGATCATTCACAGGTGTGTCCTTGCACAAGGACACAAAAATAGCTAACACATATATATGTGCTTTACTGTTATGGTGGGGACTTTCCATTGACTGATGTTCCTACAGTTTTATATTTTCATAAAGACATTATTTAATATAATAACAAGCTGTTTTTTTATAATAGCAGGGCTCATAATAAAACGAAAAATTGGCCATAAAAACCATTAACAAACATCTACTAAAGAAAACATCTGTCATGATTTGCACATCTGTCAACTTTTACCCAAGTCTGAATCCACGAGGTCTGACACAAAATGATCAATGATCAAAATGAGCTGCACTGTGAGTCAAATATACAGGAAAAAGCAGCTAAATAAGCCAGTTATCATAAGGATTTTTATCATGTCAGTTTTAAAGCCTGCATGTGTGGTTTGAAAGTATATTTTAAAGCTTTCACTGATTGCTGCAGTCTTTTAAAACATTTCTGCTGACAGAGCAGCTCAGTTTGTTCTGAAATGATGAGACTGAGATCTCTGTCATTACTCACGTTCACCACAAGAGGTCTCCATCAGCATCTGTTGCCATAGTAACACCAGCCTGTTGCCATAGTAACAGCAGCCTGTTTCAGCCTCTGCTTCATGTCTGACCTGAATCTCCTGGAGGTCATGGGAAATTTGACTGGATTTCAGCTATCGGATGGACCCTTTTCACATTTCCGGGTTTCTCAGCAGCGGAAGTCGTCATAGTTGGGTTACCTTGAAGAGCAGCGAATGGGAGAGTACCACAAATATATTTTTTTGCATTCCCATTTGCTCAAATAGCAAAAGAAAAACTCCACAATAGTGTTTTCGTGACTTTCAATAAAAGGAAAACAATTGAGAGAGACTGATAACGGCAGTCAGAAGAGAGAACCATGTCAAATTTACCGTCCCTCCCATAGACGCTGCATTAGAAACACCCTCGCATTAGCGTTAACTGTTTTTTTGTAATTTGATGCAAAGGTGATATAATACAAATAATAGTGTTATAAATGTACATACACTTTTTAAAAAATACAAATATGAAAAACTTTCGAGGATTTACGATGCTGATGACCGTTAAACTTAGAAACACCCTCGCCTTAGCGTTAACTGTTTTTTTGTAATTTGATGCAAAGGTGATATAATACAAATAATAGTGTTATAAATGTACATACACTTTTTAAAAAATACAAATATGAAAAACTTTCGAGGATTTACGATGCTGATGACCGTTAAACACGTCATCACAGTCTTGTGAAAAGGGTCTATTGGATCACATATTAAAATTGTTTTGTTTAAAAGAAAAAGAAAAAAAAGCAACTAAAATTTTATTTGATCAAACCTTCAGTGTTGTTCAAAACATTTTAGTAGGAATGGGATACATTTGATCCAGAAATATCAGGATTCAGGGTTAATTTCAGGAACGCAATATTTTACTTGCGCATCTAGTGTGAAACGGGCCTCTCAGTAACAAACAGAAAAATAGCAGATTTTGGATTCTGCGGGTTTGCGATCTCGAGGAGGCGGGGCTCGGAGCGCAGGACCGACTGGGTTCTAGTGGGGGTTCAAGTTTGAAGGCAGTGGGTTCTCGCGTTCGGGAGATACGAGCGGAAATGTCTGCGAGCCGTCTGCCATTATACGGTAAGGTACTCGTTTTGCTTTATCGCTTATATCTCAGCAGTGAAGCAGGGGCAGGGGCGCCGCTATGGTTTCTGGGCCCCCTGAACAGCATATTGACTCTGGCGACCTCGCTCTTGGTAAAAATAGGCCCTTGGAATCGCCCTAACCTTCCCCCCTGTTACGGCGTCCCTGAGCGGGGGTCCCAGAGGTTGAAACTTGGGTTGAGTGCAGGTCTCTTTGGCCCCGTCCAAACGCAACAAGCCCCATGGTTCGATTTGGTAGTTATAGCCGGTCAAATTTTCAACTTTTGAGAGCGCTATCTCCGTGAGTTGGGGACCGGTGTTCTGACGGGAGTGTACTGAAATGTACTGATTGTACTGAAATTCACCTGCTTTGGCAGTCAGGGGAGAAATTAAGCTTATCAAAACTTTGAATCATTTGAACAAATTACTTCACAAAATGATTCACTGTTCAAGCGCTCGAAACGCCACACGCTAGTGACGCCTGCTGGTCAGAACGATGTAAATGCAACGAAAACTCCAAGCATGCATTAAATTACCTTTAGCAAACCGATTTTATTGAAAGTGTTGTAAGTACCAGCCATTGACCCAACAACGGAATCCAACAGCATGGGTGAAGGTATAATGTGTTTAAGTCTTTTACTTGCGCTTCTGTAAGGTTCACTTAATTTATTTTGAATTTGACTGAATTTAAATTTTATTGTAGCTCTGTGCTTAATCTGACTGCAATTTCAAGAGAACATTAAATGTAGACCCAGTATCGCGTGGCCGTCGCAGGTCTCACGATCACAAACTCACCAGTTCTGAGTTTAGTCAGAGGATGCAGAGAGTAAACTAATATCTTTAATTCGGCTGTCACATGCTCGCTCATTCAAAAAGTGTAGTTTCCTCAGTCATGCAGCTGCAACTTGCTAAGTCAGTGAGAGTTTCAATTTTATTGTAGCTCTGTGTTTAATCTGACTCCAATCGTTAAGTGATTGTTCAAATTTGACTACATTACTGATTAACAGCTGATCATAAGATTATATGTGGCTGAATTTAGATATTTGATTATTCTGGACAACCTATACTTTCAATTATTTGTTCATTAGGGACCCAGTGCCGCACAGAGTCTCATGCCGGCTGGAGGTCATGGATCTCACAATCATAAACTTGCCAGTTCTGATCTTAGTCAGGGGGTGTAAATTAACTAATACCTTTAAGTTGGCTACAACATGTTTGCTCATACAAAAAGTGTAGTTTTGTTAGTCATGTTACTACAACTTGCTAAGTCAGTGATAGACAGAAATCAAAAGGTCCCACATGATGTGCCTCATACTCCATTCACTGGGCCTTCAGTTTGACCTGTCCAGAAATACCAGACTCCACTGGCCCCGGAATCTACTAGTCACAATGATTTCAGAAGAGTTCAGAATAAATCAAATGTAACCTTTTATTTGTCAGGTAAAAATCTATCATGCCAATTATATTATTAAAGGGGTCATATTATAATAGGGGTCAGGATCAATTTTTCCTTTCTCTTTGGAGTGTTACAAGCTCTTGGTGCATAAAGAAGATCTGTAAAGTTGCAAAGTCATTACACCAAATACACAAAATAATGTTCTTTTTAGCAGAATCATATGACCCCTTTAAACAATGGAAATCCGATACAGAATTCAACTCAGTTCCAATTCAGACAAATACATTACATTAACTGCTCACAGATGAATCTAAGAGTGAGAGATGCATACCTGACAGCAGAGAAACACACAGCAGCATGTGAGAGATTTGGATGCAGAGCTCCAGAGACTCTCTCACACA